CACCGGCAGATGAAGACCTCTAGATGACGAATATATTATACGCGCAAATTTAGGGCCTCGCAACCATAAAGCAGAACTGACCGCGGGCTGGCGCAGTATACACGAGCTTTCAGTTTTAACGAAACATTACGTCTGGGCCAAAGGTGTTTTAGTCCTGCGTAAGTTGCTCGAGCCTTGGAAATGCGGACGGTTACTCAATTGACTATGCTACCGTCATTCGTCACGCAGCTACCTAAGTAGGAGGAACATCCCACTGTAGCTAATTCCTGACCCTCAAGCATCAGAGCCGGGGTAGACGACACCCAATCTTGTAGCATCGCTTTGCACTTTGAAGGTGCAAAGCGCATATCGAATGAAGTTACAGAACTTGAAAGTCTGTCAAGAGCGCTTTACGCAGCCTCCGTACATTCGAACAGACAAACGACGTCATCAGCGTATTCTAAGTTGAACTGCTTTTTTTCCAGCTGCGCATTCAATACCAACATTGCGGAGACAACTTATTGCGTTCTCCAGTATTTCGTCTACGACGAAATTGAATAGCAATTTTTTTTATTACACACCTAAGTGTGATGAACAGCAGACGGGGCGAACCTCAAAGTCACAAAGACCTGCTGTTTTTAGTGGTAGAATGGCGGAATGGGACATCCGTGACGAAAACCACTCCTGGTTTTGAACGACTTGCTTTGGCAACCGTAGACCTTTACGCTACCAGAAGTCCGCAGGTACAGCGACCGCAATAAGTTTAAATACTTCTGCGGTATTCCTTCGTGAAGCAGCGATCCCATAAAACCTTCACGATCAACTGAGTCGAAGGCTCCTTTAGGTCAAGGAACGCTGCGATTGTTGGCCAACGATGTGACTAAATTCGAGGATCTGAAGCAAAGTGAAAATCTGGTCGACGCAACCACGACCTGGGCGGAATCCTGCTTACTGTTCGCGGATATTCCTCTCCGTTAAGAGTGTCAGGCGGCGGAGTACCACAGAAGTCAAGAATTTTTTGATGATCGGAAAGAAACTAATACCGCGGCGGTTCGCGCAGTCATTGTGTGATCCCTTCTTGAAGATCGAAACTTTAAACGATTCACGCCAGGATAAAGAGATACGCTTCTCGTGCCAGATGCTGCGAAGTAGGCAAGTAAACGAAGAAATCATCACCCAGCTTGAAACTAATGGGTAAAAGCCCCTCAGGTGCCGCAGACTTCCTCTTCTTTAATGATTGAATACAGTTTCGTCCTTATAATTCTGATGGTTTACATGGTCCCATCACTGGAGTTTCTGCAGCGATTGCAGGGAGAACTGCATTAGCACTAGGGCAATTGGACTGTTCACAAAAACAGTCCAGCTATCAATTCAGTCTTTATTATGGATACACCGTCCACTTTTATCGCAAACGATCTTATTGATCGGCGTGCGATTACCTTCGGTGCTGCGTATAAAGTGAAACAGTGTCTGACTATTCCCTAGTATATAAGCTAACTCCATTTCCCTATTTATTTTAACCCATTAGTTTTCGTGATCTTTTTCAAGGCTTTTTCTCAGCTGAAGTTGTAGGCCTCACCGGTCCCCAAGTTGATCCTGGCAGATTGCGTCCTTTCGCTTTTATTCCATGAGGATAACTGACTCCTGAGAGATCCCGTGACGAACTTCCGGCTCAGTCCCACAGGCAAAGTGCTGTTCAGTGCATCGCAAATCTAATTTGATCCCACTGTTGGCTTACTCCACCATATCACAGTTCTCCTAGTTACTGTCCCAGCCTCATCTCATAACGTGCGCAGACAGATGGATAGCGTCGACGATGAGCTAACAAAGATAAATCTGAAATCTTCCGGGTATAACCTTGGTTTTCTGTCCAGTTCACAGTGCTCATCTTTAGCACGCGAATAGCAACAAACCTAAGTCGTTCTACATTTATTTACTTTATTCGCAAGTTACACGATTTATTCTAAATTCACCACACCGAGTGATTTCCATCTTCCCTTCCAGCCAAGCACCACAACATCAATTAACATAGATTACATCCATCACAATTAAAAAAATTATCCTACTTCACTCAAGGTACATAGGGAATGAACGTTTGCAAATGTTACTCACCACCTCTTGGTCCTCTGCTAGAGTGAGATCATATTCACTGATTGCGACAACAAAAATGATGGCAGTGACTCCTTCAAAACAATGTATCCACTTTTTCCGCTCGGTACGTTGCCCACCAACGTCAAACATTCTACGAGAAATTATGAGAAAACAATAGGCTTACTTTATATCTAGTCCCTTGAATGTAAACCTTGTTTCTATTATTCCAGTGGTTTTAACGCGAGTTCGTAACACATCCTGCTCGGATGGGATATAACCCGGTTCGGACAATCTATCAATAGCATCCAAATAGCTGAAATTGGATCCAGTTTATAGTTAGCGGTGCTTACTAGGAGGCAGAATCGTTCAGCTGAAATTCACGAGAACGTCCAACAGCGGTCTGTACACCGAGATCGAACCATAATCGTCTCAGCGCACCCGATAGAACGATCGGCAAATCAGTAAGCTCTGAGTTTATGTGCTCAAAAACGATTGTAGCATCATGCTAGAAGCGGAATAAGAATTTAAAAACGGAGTTACCGAACGTTCATCGCTCGCGAAATATATCCCTAATTGTTCCATAGCCCGAAGTATCGCAGCCATGCTTTGCACTGTATTGCTGAATACGACAGGTTTATACTTTAAGCATTCTTCTTTGGAATATCCGTCTTGATGGATTATTCTAATATATTAATTATATGAACCCTAGTTATAAAACAATTACTTCATCTGTTTAACGATAGTGCTCTTGCCAGATTCACCGGCACCTAAAAGGAGCAATTTTGCTTGTCTGCAAGATTGCTCCCGGTCTGCTTTGAGCGTCTTGTCGATCACTTTCGACCGAGCGGCAGCCGCTTTCGCCTCCCTACTCTCGATACAACCCATCTTTATTGCACAGCTCAGTTTAGTTCAGACAGACAAGTAATGGCACAACGTGATATTCAGCTCAGTTCAAATTCAGTTCAGTTCAGTTCAGTTGCACAGGACGAATATGGCTCTTGCCAATCGAG